CAGAGTTGTCCTGAGTGGAGTGAGGTGTTCATTCTTTATACCTTGGTGTTGGCCAGTTATTGGATATGGACTACCCTAGAAAGGGCAAGGTGACTCTCTTTAAAATAATTCCCAAAGGATGGTGAGAAATGAGGGCCATCTGCTGGCAGTATTCCCAGTGGCTGGAGAAATAAGAGCAATAGACCCAAAGGGGTATCTGGAAGAGTCATCATAGAGTTCACTACAAGCATGTGTCATTATCTGAAATTATTGTGCTTTAAAAAATATTCCCTCATTTATTAAATATCTCGCTTAATTAAAAATATGCATCATGAGGATAGATATTTTACTTATCTGTCATGTAATAGGTATGTTCTCACTAAATAATTATTGAATTTTGAATGAATGAATTTTAAACTGATTATAACCCTTATCAAAATAATCAAAGATAATCTATAGAATTTTATTTGAGGAAGCATTTTCATTGTTAGATTGGGAGTTTTTTTGTGTCTTTTGTTTCTCCCTCTTTTTCTCTCCCCCTTTCTCCTTGTATTCAAAGCCAGAATGTAAGCAGCCGTTCTCAATCTGTGGGTCGAGAACAATGAAAATACATTCTGCATATCAGATATTTACATTACAATTCATAATAGTAGCAAAATTACAGTTATGAAGTAGCAACAAAAATAATTTTATGGTTGGGGGTCACCACAACATAAGGAACTGTATTAAAGGGTCGCGGCATTAGGAAGGTTGAGAACCACTGGCTAGAAGTTGTATGAGATACCTCAAGATCATTTGTTTTTTTTGGATGTCATCTAGAGAATACTAGATATTTGGGGGTGGGGGAGAAAGAAATAAAGGGAAATAACCTTGGGAAAATTCATCACTGGAGGAATTACTATTCAGTGGTAATAGTATGAGAAAAAAGAAATTGTAGTATTTTGGTATGTATCTATACACCAGGGGAAGCTGATTGCTCCCAGCAGCCACTGCAGTGAGGCCTAGACCACACCTCTAGTATCTGGAGCCATGACAGTTTTAACCAGGGGTCCTCAAACTACGGCCCGCGGGCCACATGCAGCCCGCCGAAAACATTTATCAGCCCGCCAGGTGTTTTGGCCACCACTGCCTGTTGCTTAGCAGCCGACTCACCCCGGCCGGCCCGTAGCACATGTGTGGAATGTGCGCCGCACTCTTCAACTCCCCTCCTTCTCTCTGTCTCTCAACTCCTCCTCTCAGTCTCAGGCAGGGGTCCTCAAACTACGGCCCGTGGGGCACATGCAAATACAAATATTGTATTTGTTCCCGTTTTGTTTTTTTACTTCAAAATAAGATATGTGCAGTGTGCATAGGAATTTGTTCATAGTTTTTTTTTAAACTATAGTCTGGCCCTACAATGGTCTGAGGGACAGTGAACTGGCCCCCTGTTTAAAAAGTTTGAGGACCCCTGATTTTAACACCAAGAAGACTCACCTTTGTGGAGCCAGTGGTGCTGTCAGAACACAGTTTGAGTAAGGTCTCCCTTCAGCCTGGGGCAAAATTCTAAGAGTGAACTGGCAACACTTTTAAGGCCACCACAAGCTTCAGAATATGAAGGAAGAGTTAAAAAATCAGATTAAATAACTATAATTTCTGGAGAAATGTAGTCTTCAAGGGCTATGGTGCCAAGCACCAAAGTTTTATCACATTAAAATTTAAGAAAGGTTCTGCCTCCATTGATTTTACTCTGTTTTACTCCAATCTCAAGTTGCATTTTAAAGAAAACAAAAGTAAAAATTATGTTCTTTAAACTCATTTATTAAGCATGTGCATTTGTCAGATGAAAAATCAGATGCCAACTTACTGCCAAAAGCCAAGTGGAATCGAGGTTAAAGTTTATATATAGTTACGTAAATGCCGGGGTTCTTGTCCCAGCATCAAGAAGGGTTCAGGAATCTGGAGAAGGCTGTGCGTAGATTTTTAAATAAGAGTCCAGAGACAAAGTATAATTTTGAAAGGCATTTGTGGGGTCAGAGGAGCAAAGCTAAAGGAGCTAAGACCCAAGATCTAAATTCTCAGGTCTCCTCGTCCCAGGACCCCATGCTTTTTATTAACACAATTTGTCCTGAGGCGAGGCAGAGATATACACTTCAAAGGGTCAGGGTTTCAGTACAGAGTCCATTGTCAGAATGGGGGAATTAGCCTAAGGCTGTTCAGGTGTTTGGCCAGTAGGAGGCAATAACATGTAGATTAAGATGCCCTTTAGCTGTCTGGCAGCCAAGAATCAATTTAATGTATCCTATTCAGGTTTGGGGAAATGCCTTTAGCCATTCCCAGATGCAGCCCTGCTGTCATGCTGGAATTGGTCTCCGGCACTTAAAGAAAACTATAATAAATTACTTAATATTTTATAGCTAAAACTATACATATATCCATGCATATTTACATATTTAGATAATAGGATGCATCAGATGTCAGCTGGCTTCCAGATAGTGAGATTTGTAATATTCAATTGAAAACACTCTTCAAGACCATATCTTTTTTAAAAAATATATCTTATTGATTTTTTACAGAGAGTAAGGGAGAGGGATAGAGAGTTAGAAACATCAATGAGAGAGAAACATCAATCAGCTGCTTCCTGCACACCCCCTGCAGGGAATGTGCCCATAACCAAGGTACATGCCCTTCACCGGAATCGAACCTGGGACCCTTCAGTCCGCAGGCTGATGCTCTATCCGCTGAGCCAAACCAGTTAGGGCAAGATCATAATTTTTTATTCAATTGCTAGGACCAGTCTAGCAATTGAACACACTTGTTTTTTTTATTTCAGAGAGAAAAGGGAAAGAAGAGAGAGATAGAAACACCAATGATGAGAGAGAATCATTGATTGGCTGCGTCCTGCACACCCCCTACTGGGGATCAAGCCTGCAACTTGGGCATGTGCCCTTGACCAGAATCAAACCTGGGACCCTTCAGTCCACAGGCCGGCGCTCTATCCACTGAGCCAAACTGGCTAAGGCCCAAAACACACTCTTAATAATGGCATGAGATATGTGGAAACTACAAAGAAGAAACATTTATGAAAACAGTTAATACCAAAATCAAACTGAAAATTCACGGCATCTGAAGTCCAAAAGGGCATTATGTGTACACGAGCAGCCTGGAGTGGTCAGCCAGGCTGAGCCAGAAACAGCTCTCTGCTCAGCTGCAAGGGCCGGGGGAGGATTTTCTCAACCACCGTGTTCCTTCTTTGGTTTCTGCATGAACTTAAATAAACACATTCTTTATCTAGAGGAGTGTGTGACCTCCCGGTGTGTGTCTGGTGACTGGCTTTGGAGAGGAACCGAGTACTGGAATTGGCTGTGGAAATTGAGCTGCAGTCATGTTTGCTCCCGGAGAGGAGCTGGCTGTGGGGAGGAGGCACTTTCTGCCTCCACTGAATTTCAATGAGCAGAATCAACCAACAAAGTCAGGACTCTATATGGCCGGTCAGGCTGGGATTTAAGCCCCACAGAGAACTTGTTACATTTAATATTTAAGAAACATGCCACAGAGGCATGACCCCAGGAGGCTCTTCCTCCTGGGCCGGAGGACTGGAAGTTATGGCTGCAGGGCCTTCTCCCTCCTGCCCTGATGTCGGAGGCTACTCAGAAATCACAGGCATCTTCTTTTGAAGAGAGGTATAGAAACAAAGCATAATAGTTGCTGGTTACACATTTTACTAACATAATTAGCAAACAAATGCCACAGGTTATAAACTGTGAGCGTTTGAATTTAGAATTGCATTTTGTTCTTAAATGTCCCTTCGTTAAAACTTGAAAGCCAGTACACTCAGTATAAATGAACTCCACATTTTGGAGGATAGGCAAGAGAGCAGGCTTAAGTACAGTCACCAGGAGAGCAAAATTCAAGGTTCACCACAGATGCTGGTATTTTTGTTTTTATCTAGTCATGTATTGGTGGGAAACTGTTTAGCTGCAGTAACTCCTTCAGTATGTATTACTCCTCTTAGGGTGTCTCTGATTCCTATTAATTTACTTCACTGATAAAAAGCATGTTGTTAATCTTTCTGCATCACTGAGCCAACTGAGAAAAGGGAAAACAAAAAGTGAACCCCATTCCTTATAAATTATTGAAGCACATTGTCAACAACAGTATATCCTGGTAGCAGATGACAGCCTCTGAAGCAGCAAGGATACAGCCCAATCTGGGGAGCTTAGTGGGAAAAAGGAAGGAAAGAAAAATGTCTTCTTGAATGGAAAATTAAAGAAACTCCTATTTAGTCCAGCCAGTATGGCTCAGTTGGTTGAGTGGTCGTCCTATGCACCAAGAAATCGCAGGTGGGATTCCCGGTCAGGGCACATGAATGGGTTGTGGGCTTGATCCCCAGTAGGGGGCATGCAGGAAGCAGCAGATCAATGTTCTCTCTCATCATTTATGTTTCTCTCTCTCCCTCTCTCTCTCTCTCTCTCTCTCTCTCTTCCTCTCTCTCTAAAATCAATAAAAACATATTTTAATTAAAGAAAACTGTTTAGATTTACAATATGGATTTGGGGAATCTCTTCATACTCAACCCCAATTGAAATTAACTAACAAGTTCTTTTTAAATGGTTGGATAAAGTTTTATATCATTTCTGTTGTTCTTTCTTTCACATCGTACTTGATTGGGATCAGAGTCAACTAAAGTAATTTAAATAAGTTTCAGGGAAAAGCTTGTGGGCACTTAATATGACTTCCTCTTATACCTTCTGTAAAAGGATGTTTTTAAAAGTCTATAAAATAAAACAAGCTTGTAACTTCAATCACCTGATGAAACTAGAATAAAGGAACTGGGATGCTTTCATAGAGTTTATGTGAGTCCTATTCTCCCTGTCCTCAGTTCTAATTCATTATCTACTCCTTCAGCATTTACTGGGGTCTCTCAGTAACTTCCTCTCTGCTCTTTTTGAAACAAATGTATTCTTGAAAGGTATTTAGAACTTGGTCAGCAAAAGGATAAGGGGGAAAAATGCCATTACCATGGTGCAAATAAAAAATTTCTGTTGCATTAATTTAAGAGTTTATTTTTATCCATCATTAAATGCCAGGGAACAAAATGTTAATCATGTATTTTAATTCAAGAAACACCATGAACTCCACAGACTGATTCAGAGTGGACTTGTGGCCTAATGTCCAAGGGAAACAGCCCATCAGATATCAGTCGGTTTCAGTGGGGCTCAGCCGTCCCATCCCAGAGCCTCAGCGACCTGCATCTGTCTGACCCTGAGTGAATGCCTCCTTATGTGGGCACCCCAGGCACCTCACTCGCCCACCCCAGTCAAGGCCCTGCCTCAGTGATACTAACTCAGTGAGCTTTATGGCTCCAGAGTCATCTAGGGAGCGAAGAGTTTGTCTCTCTTCTGTCTCCTCATAGTGTAAGACTAATGACTCCAAGATTAATTGCACTTCCGAAGCCCAGATGTGGTGAGTGCTTTCCAAAGGAGCTGCCCCATCCAGGGTGAGGAAAAACTGTCCGGAGGGCAGTTTCTGAATGCTGACTCTGGACATTCTTGCTCCCGGTTAATTGCTCCTCTGGTTCCTGTCGTGGGCATTGGCCCTGAGCTTTGCTAGCTGTGACTTTTGGCTCTGATTCCTTTCCGGTTTCTGCCTCTTGGCTTCCACCTTGTCTCAGTAGCAGAATTTCCATCTCTGACCATCAGCCCCTGACCTGGTTTGTTGCATATATTCCATGTAGGTCTCCTGATTTTTTTTTTCTCCACCGTCCTAAGGTAAAGTTCGAAGGCCACTTCAAAATCCATGGTCTGGACACGGACATCATGTCCTGGAAAAGAGAAAGGAGACCACAAAAGCTTGCCTTCTAATGTTCTTTCCTTTCCATGAAACACAGACTAAAAATGTCCGCTTTGGACTGCATAGCTGTGTTATAAAGATTAATGTCCGTGAAACCTGTGTGGATTGATGTGAAAAGCAGCCACGTAGAAGATTGCCAAGGTATTGCCTTGGCAACATCTCTACATTAGGAAGAAACGTATAACACAAGCTATAATGGTAAAATAAGGAGGCTGTTTTGTTTTTATGAAACACACCAGATTCTATACTTCTAGGTGCCTCTGTGTCCTTCAAATTAGCCATTGTGAGAAACCATCACTTATTTCACTATTTCCAAAATTAATCCCTATTCCAAAAAAAAAAATCTTTAGAATGACCTTTTGGCATTTCCTTTAGAACTGGTGGCACTTTTTTTTTCCCTTCAAATTTACTTAATGGTAAAAAAAAAAAAAATCTGTGTACTATTAGAGTGGCCCTGAATTTAAAACCACAAAACTTTAGGAAATATTGGAGAGAGATGAAGAGAAGGAGGGAGGGAGGTGGGGAGAGAGAGAAAGAAAGAGAGAGAGGATTTCCACCATAAAAAAAAAAAAAAAAAAGACCTAATTCAAAAGTAATGAGTGGGGTGTGTGTATGTGTGCATGCACATGGAGAGTAGCGGTAAGTGTATGAATGAAAGACTAAGAGAGATAGCATATCCCAGGTATTTCAATTTGTTGATAGTGACTTTATGTCTCACGTACAAAGAATGCAAATATGACAGGCCATGCATGTTACAACTTTCACCCCGTCAGGAAAATTTCTCAGCTTCAGTCTTGATTGAAAACACAAAGGCTTTTTTGGTTTGTTGTGGGGTTTTTTTGAAACAGATGATGCTGTCAGCTGGAAGGCAGAACATCCCATGGGGCACACCACGTGAATGAAGATCTTTCTTCCACCCAGAATTCACAGAGCCTTGTCATCATCTCTGATTTCTGCTACTGCAAAAGACCAGGCAACAAGGATTGGATGTGCAGACTTGTGAATGTTTTCAATTGAATTTTTTAGGAAAAGGTTACTTTGCAAACTGGTCAATTTGCCTCCAAGTGCAAACTCTCCCCTCCCCACCCCAATCACTCTCCCCTTTCCCTACTGCCCTTAGTCTCTATTTCCATTATTCCCTCCCTCAGGCCTCTCTCTGCTTCCATAAAAATAAGCAATTATTTCAGCTTCAAGCAGGATGTTGCCCCTTAGGGGACCTCCAAATGCCATCAGCCTGGGAGAAGGTGGATGATTTACAGATGGACAGAGCCTGGCAGATACTGTGTGATACCAAGGGACCAATGAGCATACTTTTGCTAGCGATAGAAAAATGTGTAAGGAAAAAAAACAAGAGGAATCAAGCCTCTCCCCTCCTCTGGAGGAAACTGGTTGCTTCTTTTCTTTCCCATTGGCAGATGATTCCGCTTTTAGATGCCTACAAAAAAGACAAAAGCATTTTTGTTTTGTGAATTCTGGTATTTTCTAACTCATACTGTGTATGGTTCTTGGCCAACAGTAACGATGGACTGAACTCCCTGGGTTTGCAATATTTCCTGGATCACCAGGGGGCTTTGCCTGTCAGATTCCCCTGAGGACCACTAGAGGCTAAGTCAGGACAGAGGGGCCCAGCCTATGTTGTTGCTCCTAATTCTCAGCAGTACTATTCACCTTCTCACCCTGTAATTGGCATAGCTACCTTCCCAACCTGCCAGTACTGCCAATTTGCCAAACTACAGGGGCTGCTTTTGTGAATGCCACAGTATTCTGAGGTTCTATGTTCATAGTTGTTGTTTTTTAATTCTTCTGGAAGATTACTGCTACATTTTAGAGTAGATTAGTTGGGTCTGTTTTGCCTGCCAGTTAAATTCATTTCAGCTTAACAAGCATTTATGGAATCCTTGCTAAAGACAGATATAAAAGTTGCAGAGATTACGTAAAAAGTTAAGACATAGTTCACAATCTAATTGGGTCAATAATTCAAGCACAAATCCTAGGAATCTTAGGATACATAAAACATTGTTCCTTTATTATTATACTGTTAGAAGTTGGCTCTCAGGGATGGGATACTGTTGAGAAAAATGGCGAACAACAGAAAGCAGGAAGGGGGCTGTGTCAAGTATTTCTATAATAAGTCTAAACCTGAAATCTGAGAGAACCCTGTGCCCCTCTGGCTACACTGGAACCATCTGAATAGTGTTATGTTTGTGTGGTCAATCTATTTTCAGGGTATAGTAAAGAAGCCAATATTTTATTTTTTAAGACTTTATTTTAGAACAGTTTTAGGTTTACAACAAAATTGAGAAGAAGGTAGAGAGATTTTTCCATATGTTGTCTGCCCCCCACACGTGTATAGTGTATTCCATTATCAACATCATGCACCAGCATGGTACATTTTTACCAGGGATGAACTATATTGACACATCACAATCACCCAAAGTTCATAGTTTACCTTAGGATTAATTCTTGGTGTTGTATAGTCTATGTATTTGAATAAATGTATAATGACATGTATCCACCATTAAAACATCATACAGAGTATTTTCTTTGACCTAAAAAGCCCTATGCCATGCCTATTCATTTCTTGACCCAGGCAACCGCTGAGCATTTTATGGTCTCCATAGTTTTGTCTTTTCCAGAATGCCATATAGTTGGAATTATGCAATACGTATCCTTTTCAGATTGTGTTCTTTCACTTAGTAATATGCATTTAAGGTTCTTCCATGTCTTTTCATGGCTTGACACATCATTTCTTTGTAGTGTTGAATAATATTCCATTGTTTGGATGTACTACAGTTTATTTATTCAAACACTCAGTTTTTCCTTTACTATGAAGGAAAAAATTCCTTGTATGTCTCCTGTACTACTCACACCAAACACTTCACTTCTGACACTTCTGGTCACCAAACAAATATGATAATGAGCAAATCTCTAATACCAGCTGGGTGGCCAGGAGGTACCCTAGAACCTCTCAGGATTTTGCTTTGTTCAATTCAGGCAGTAAAGGGAGGTTGAAAAGGAAGACAAGAGGTTCTTGAGGTAGGAATATTACTGAACAGTTGAATATACATGTCTGAATCTCAGAAGAGGGACTGGGCTAGAGATTTATACTTGGAAATTATTAATATATGGGTGGCAGTTGAGTCGATGGGAACAGGAGAGATTCTGGAGAGAATGTGGAGGATGAGAAGGGACCAAAGTCTAGAGCAAAGCACTCAGGAACAGAGGGAATCAATGATTTTTCCTACTGACCCAGAATTGTCACTAAGCCTTTAATTTAGGTTTTTGAGATCCTCTAAGGGACTATTGAGTTGGGAATTTATTTAGTTTGGGTTTAGTGAAATATACTGTATTTATGTGGTTTATAGTCATTTCCAAGTATACTTAAGTTACTCCTAGCTGTCCTAATATGAGAATGGCTTCCTGAATGTTTCTACCACTTACCATACCAATTGTCACAAAAATTGTGAGATAATATGTGGCCAGAGGACATGTAGTGATATCAACATTGCACTTGGCACTAGAAATGCATAGGTAGCAAATAAATAAGACATGAAATATTTGGAGCCAGAAGCTAATCTATGGAAAATTCCTCTAATTACAAGTCATATATAAAAGAAACTTGATTGGATTTTCCCAAATTTGACAACAATCCTTAAAATATATATGATTGTTCCTAGGATGAGTTATGAAACTGAAAAAAAAACTGTTTTAAACATTATCAATAATGGAAACAATTTGTATTAATCATAATAGAAGACAGATAGTATTACCTTACTATTATTTTTATAGAAACTATTATAAAAGAAATTGTCATATAAAGAATCAAAAATTAAAAGGATATGCAATCAAAATATATTTAAGCAGCTATATAATTAAAAACATGTTATTTATATCTAAAATTTTTTGTTTGTCAGCTTTCTAAAATTTGTAATTTATTATGATCTTGATAACAAGTAAATAGAAAAATCATAGAATCAAACACAATAATATTACTAATTATATTAAATGTAATTGTTCTAAAGACACCAGATAAAAAGCAGAGATTGTCAGATCAACTAAGATGTCAAACTATGTGCTATCTATAAGAATCTTATTTTAAATATAAAAAAGCAGAATTAAAGTGAAAGGATTTTAATAAGAGAGTCCATGATAACACTAATTAAAAATACTTGGAATTGTATTAATATCAGACAAAGTGGATTTCTCAGGAAAGAATATTAGCAGGAATAAAGAGGGTCATTTTATAATGATGAAAGAAGCAATTCATCAAGAGGACATCATTCTAAATGGATTTGTACCTATCAACCACAGGACTTCAAAATACATGAAGCAAAAAAATGATGATACAACAAAATAAAACAAAACAAAAGATAAATCCACTGTGGGTATCAGAGAATTCAATACTGTTCTCACAATAATTGACAGACAAATTAGATAGAAAACCATTATATATATAAGGGACTTGAACAGTACTACCAACATACCTGACCTAATTAACACAGAAGATTCCATCCAATATTAGCAAAGTATTGATTTTTTGCAAATGTACATGGAACACTCACCAGATGTATTAGTTTCCTAAGGCTGCCATAACAAAAATAGAAAATTAGGTGACTTAAAACAACAGACATTTATTCTTTCACAGCCATTGGATTAAGGTCCATTTTAAACTAGTAGGACCTTGGTTAGACCTACAAAACCCTATTTCCAAATAAGGTCATGTTCATAGATACCAGGGGTTAGGACCTGAACATATCACTTTGTGGAACACAAGTCAACCCACAACATCAGATTAGACCATATTCTGGACCAAAAACAAGCCTTAATAAACATAAAAATATTAAAATCACATAATGCATATTCTCTGACCATGATGGAATTCAATTTAAAAATCAATAAACAAAAATATATTTAGAAAATCTCAAAATACTCAGAAATGAAACAATACACTTCTAAATAACCCATAGATCAAAGAACAAATCATGAGAGAAATTAGAAATTAAGGTGAATGAAAACAAAAACACAATATATCAAAATCTGTTGAATCCACCTAAAGAGCGCTTTGGGACATCATAAACTTGTATTAAGTGCTTGTAGCATAATATGCTTACATTAGCAAACTAGAAGGACCTAAAATGAAAGATTCAAGTTTGTACCCCAAGAAACTAGAAAGATAAGAGCAAATTAAGCCCAAAAAAGCATAAAAAGAATTGAAATAGATAAGAATAGAAATCAATGAAATAAAAAAACAGAAAAGCAATAAAGAATATCAATAAAATTAGTAATCTCTAGCTAGACTGATCAGGTAAAGAAAAAAAACACATAAACTACCAAATTCTTTGAAAGACACAAGTAACCAAAACTCACCTAAGAAGAACTAAATAGCCTAGATTACCCTTATATCTTTTTTAAAAATTGAATTTATAGTTAAATTTCCAAACACATGCAGCTTTTTAAGAGTTATCTTTTGATATTGATATTTTTTCTCTAGTTGCTTTTAAAAACCTTCTTCTCATCTTTTGTGGTCTGTTGTCTCACTATAATGTTGTCTTGCATGCTTTTTGGCATGGGAGCCATGGTTTTCCCTAAATCTGAGGATTTGTGGCCTTCATGAATTCTGGAAAATTCTCAGCCATGTTGACAGAAGTGGAACCTCTACCATTCACTCCTCACTTAAGAGGTGTTAGGTTCATATTTGGTCTGCAACGACAGACTGTGTTTAGGCATATAGCTCTTACCTAGCTCAAATTCCAGTTTTTAGAGGCACATAGTTATTGCAACTTTTTAAAATTTAGATAGACCTTTTTAATAAACCACCAATGCCCTGTCACTAATTAGTGGAATATTGAAAACTACAAACCTGAAGTAAACACATTTTCTAATATCTGCTGAGTCCATGCCCCTTCTTTGTAAATGCTCTCTCAGCTCTGAACCCCTGCTATTATATAGTGTGTCCCAA